ATCTTGTATGAAACGCATCTTTCTCACACGATCGACACATACAAATTGCAACCCATTTGTCCCCTCAACTTGGCAACCTACAGCCCAGTGATGCTATTGATATGTGCGCAGGTAGTACCGCGGGAAGGAAATTGAACACTGGTAGAAATGGGAGGAGAAGACTCGGGTGGTGCTCCAGTGAAAAAAAACTGAATATACATGTAAATGTATATTTACATGTATAATGAGATATAGCTTACACTTCAAAAGGCTATTTAAATGATTAAATATGAGCGTTGCAAGTTTCAAAGTCAGGTGCTGCGCTGCTTTGTTTACTGCAGTTATGGGGGAAACGGCTATATTCCTGGCGAAAAGCGCCACCTGCTGGCAGAGAATGAATTTGCATTTTTCAAAATTCTTCTGCTCTTTAGACCAAAGCCAAAAACGACCCTTAGGGTGCTTTCACACCTGTAGATCGATTACAGCTTTGCGGGCTTATTGTTGGGGTTTTTTTTGTAGCTGTTGTTATATTAATTTATCATTTTGAGCAGGAGTCCATTTTTAAAATGCACATACTAGCAAGAAGAGCAATAAGACATTATAAAATGAAAAAGTGCGCTTTGATTTTGAATGGCGAAGACGTGCTCACCCACAGACATTCACAGGTTCATTTTGAAGTATTAGCAAAACAACAAAGCTAATGCTTTTCACGGAACTTAAGTAATTACCCATTATACATTGTGATATAGCCTGGTTCGTTGGTCCGTTAGATCGGATTGCTTTCTCACTATAATCGAACCGCTCCAGAGTTCGTTTTCAATCGAGCCGAGACCACTTCGTTCAGGCGATCTCGGACCGATTGTTTTGGCGCGGATCCGAGCACGATTGCCGTGTTCACATATGCCCAAACGAACCGAGCTAAGGGGGGAAATGCGCCAGGTTCCGAAACAATGGGCCAGCTGTGAAAGCACCCTTATTTTTACGGAGAAAACACGCAGTTGTAAATGTGAACTGGTGGATCGACAAGAAGATAATGAATGATAAAACTCTTAATATATAGCTTACACTAAGATATATTTGTTACTAAATGAATGTAATTGTTTGATAATAATTGTTTAAATTAATATAAAAAATATATATAATATAAAAATTGTTACTTTTGCCCCTTTCCCGTATAAAAATTGTTACTTTTGCCCCCCCCTTTCCCGTATTTTGGTACCCAAATGTTGACAGGTATGCTATTTTAAAATCCCCTTTCTCAAATCAGGGTGTTCTGAAATTCCTGTCAGAATGACGTAGTTCTGCACAGGCCCCTCCCACAATAGTTGATTGACACTAGCGTCTTACCTTAGACCCGCCCTGAGTGAGCTGTCATCAGTCCGCCATGTGTTGACTCCGGTGCAGGAGTAGACAAGAATGTCTCCTCAGCGATTGAGATGTTTTGTTGTTGGATGTAATAAAGAATATAGCAGTCGTCATTTACTCCTGACATCTGAGCCGCTGAAGACGCAGAGGATTACCGTTACTTTCGTTTTTGAAGGAAATGTGCCGATCCCCGATCTGCCTAAAATAAGTTTGCGCGACTCATTCGTGATCCAGCTTCATCTACAGAAG